ATATATATATATATATATAGGACTATTGTCTGTTTTTATTTGTACTGTTGAGAGAATTTTTCCTTCACAGTGTGTTTCTTCTAGAGACATGTATTATCTTCATTTGGTTTCATGTTTAGTACTTTCACTTAGGACAAAGGCAGAATCACCAGAGAATCACTACTTTATTTCCATCCTTCATATGTTTCCATGCTGTTTCTTGTAGCAAGGACTGATCTAGATATGTCTATGTTTCTAAGTACTCTACTGATCTTTTGTACAGGACTACTTCATGATCCTCTCACATTTTCTTACTTGTTGGCTTAGGCCAAGGATTCTTACACAAACAATATTCTTTCAAATATTTAATTTAGTAAATTGTAACATTGATTGTAGGATATGATACTGATTATTTCAACGTAGGATACGAAATAATATATGATTGTGAAATATAAAATAATGAATTTGTTTTATTGAGAAATAATTATCCATCGGATATACGATTGTTTCATAACATTGAAGAACGCAAATACTTTTTTCTCGCTGAAACGTAGATCCTCACTCATCGTAGAAAGATGAATGTATAACTACGTGCAGTTATTATATATACATGGTCACAGTCGGGATGTCCAACGGTTCAACACATATTGCGAAACGATCGCGGAACAGAAACGCATCTGAAGTAGTCTTTCTGATTAACTATTGTCAATAAATTGAGTATTGTCTGTTTTCTTAAAAAATAGTCACGTATAACGAATATTCACTACGCTCGTGAGCATTTCAACAATAGCTGATTAAAAAGGCTGTTTCAAATGTACTTATTACGCGTTCCGTGACACCTTCTGTAATTCCATTGAAGATAGTCTATAGATATCTATTCAGCGCGTCTATATATAATTTATGTAAATCCCTTATTAGAAAGGCAAATCAGTTTCCATAAGTATGGAATTCTGACATGTTTGTATTGATATCGCGATGCGTGTTTGAAATCTGTACGCACTAGCGCGATTACGATGTATTAAAAATGTAACACCATACAAAAAGTTTCGATCAGGATGTATCTTTTCGTAAAAAAAAAAAAGAAGAATAGTATCGATCTCCGATAGTTGCAGACAATAAAAGGACACATCAGATTTAGTTTCTTTCCTCAAGTTTTTCGTGTATAAAAGCAAATGGCAGTCACTGAAATTTTGAAAATCTTGCCTGGACGAACGTTTCTCTCACCATTGAACTACCTAACGGTGCACAAGAGAGAAGAAGGGATAGAAACAAGACAACAAGTAGTGTTGATTTATAAATGATTCTGTAGAAAGGACAACAGAGTTGTCTCATAATGTTTGCTGGCATCTAGACTCCTCAGACTATGCCTCTCATTAGGATAAACCTGCAATTGGTACGGTTTACCAATCTTCACGAGGGCATTAATCAACTGGCTGGTGTGATAAAAATGGACGTTCTCGTCTATAAGCCCATGAATGATCAACAATCGATTCTCCTCATCGGGGAATTTGCTCACGTACGTCAGAATCGAGCCAGACATGTAGCCATGAGGATTGTTCTGTGGTAGATCCATGTAACGTTCAGTGTATCCAGTATCGTAAAAGTTCCACGAGGTAACTGGGGCGCCGGCGATTGCTAACTGTGAATTTAAAAATGTTCGTTTCAACGAGACGCGATATATCGGCCGTTTTGTGCTGATGAATGGTTGCGTTTGTACCTTGAATACATCGGGGTATTGTATCAAACCCATCAGACTCAAGTATCCTCCGTAAGACCAGCCATGCAGAGCCACGCGATTTAAGTCTATGTAGCCGGTAGTTTCCGCCAGCCACCTCAACACTTCGACTTGATCGTTCAATTCGACCGTTCCCATTCTACGTCGCAAGTGGCTCTCGAATATCAGACCTCTATGCTGAGATCCGCGAGAATCGATGAGAACTACACAATAACCTTGAGCAGCTAGCATGTGCATGCGTAAGTGTCTTAAACCCTGCGAAGGAGTGAAATAAACAATATTTGAATTGAGTTTGTTTGGTGCGTGCGTGCGTTTTACTCGCACTTGAAATGCGCGTTCTCTCACCTTAAACGTATTTGATACAAGTTGTACTTCGGGTCCCCCGTAGACGTTCAGTATCGTGGGATACTTTACGTCAGGCTGAAAATTATGAGGCTTGAATATCATTGAGTAAATGGTGTCGCCGGATTTGATCTTATGCGTGAAGATCTCTGGCGCGAACAGCTCAGACTCGGGCGCGGATGGTTCTAAGAGGTAGCCAACGGGCGTGAGCGATATACTCTCGACCGTCCAGTCGGTTTGCGAGATCTTAAATACCTGCAAAACGAACGGAAATACTCGTCAGTCGTGCGGAAGGACTCTCAGATTTGGTTTCCGGTGAAACGTACTTGACAAGTAGGCAGCGTTTTAATGGAACTATAAACAGTAACCAGCATAGTGCATTCCTTATTAAAATATATACTGTTGTAACTGTAGCCAGGTCTCGTCAAGAGTCGTATCTCCAACGGTCGTCGCAAAGACACGGCGTAAACATGTTGCTCCAACGGTCCCTCGCGTAAACCGCAAAAGTACACGATAGAATTCACCTCGTCGACCCATATCTTCTTACCCAGGACTTCCCAGTCGCCTTGAGTCAATGCTATTTTGGAAGTGATACGTGGTCGGAGGAATATACTGTCCATTCTGTCCAGAGGTTCCTCCACCCCTACGCTTAGTCCTGCAACAGGACATGTACACGTTGTGACAACGAATTCATTGTGACAATAAATCTTTTTTTTTAGCTGAACTAAGTTGCAGCTGTACTTTGTGAAACAAGTATACAGAGTGTCCGTCAATTCATTTGTTTGTATAAAACTTATTAAATTGAACATAAAATTCTTGTACCAATTTTGCAAACAACTGTCAAATTTTGAATTATCAATTAAAGAATAATCACACGCGATACGGTAGATAGTGACGTCTGCTGTCGTGTGCTTCAGTTTGACATCAGATCAAATTGAATAAAAAGATCCATTTTGCAAATAACCACGTAGATTTTTAGTTATTAATTAAATAAGACTAATACATTATCGTGGATAATTATGTAATGGTAGAGGAATTTTGTGCTCAATTTGATGAGTTCTACTTGCACACAATAGGTATGTTATGAATAAATTGTCAGACATCTTGTATAATTGAAGTATATATAATCCATTATATAACAGCTATAAAACTATTATATAACTGAAGCATATATAATTAGTTATATACTCAATTTGATGACTTCTACTTGCATACAACAAGTGTGTTATGAATAAATTGTCAGACCTTGTATAACTGAAGTATATATAATCCATTATATAACAGCTATAAAACTGTTATATAACTGAAGCATATATAATTAGTTATATAACAGTTACATATCAGTTGTATAAAAAATACATAACTGAAGTGTATAACAAGTGTAGAACTAAAGTAAATCAATGTTGAAAGAAAAATGAACAAAGTTCCAGTGCAGCATTAGTTCAGCTAAAAAGAACAAGTGACTGATGCGTGATCAAAAAGGTGCACGGTGATCTCAACAAACCTGCTATGCTGGATGTGATAAGATACAAGTGTCGGAACTCGGACTCCTCGCTGCCCCATATAAATTTCACTTCGTTCGTGTCATCGGACTTCAGGAAGTACAGCAAGTCGTTCACGTTGATCCACACCGAACTCTGTTCTGAATATATTACTTGAACGTTTGCCGACGTTGGCGTAAAGTGGTTCTCAGAGTTGTACATGTTCGGCGGTGGTTCGCAAAAGTTGTCTATCGACAGCAGCACCAATTCGAGTTTTTGTTGCTTCCTGTCCAGCAATTGTACCCAGACGCTGTGTTGGGAAAGCGACATTTATCGACTCGTGTGTCTCATTTCTCAAAGTGTTACCGCAGGGTCTTATCATCAACTTACTATTGCGCGTCAGGAGTCCATCCAACTCTCACCATGTACTCCATCCAAGGGAACATGATGTGAAGCGGATACTGTAACTCCAATATCTCGATATCGACAATCTGTAGCAATTCCGTCAACCGGAATTGAACCATCTTCAAGTTACTCCTGGCGTTCGGCATACCTGCCCTGGGAAACCTGAATTCGTCCACTTCGTCAGTATTGGATGAGGACGGGAAGCAATAAATCTTCACGTCACTCTCGTCCACTTCCTCATATACGATTCGGTAAATACCGTCGTTAGACTTGGGTTGCCACCAATAACCGATGTACCTGAAACAGAAACGGATATTCTAATTTTCGTGCTATTAGTATGAGAGCATTCAGCAATAACGGGATCAACCTTGTAAATTCTTCCTGCATGACATAGGAAGGAGTACCAGCGGTGAGCGGGTCGTCCATGAGACTTCTGCCGCCTTTTCTAGCGTGTGTTAACCGGACAGAAGAGCCTGTGATACTATGCGACAAGTACAAATCTCCGGAACATGTGTGAGCGACCAGATCGTTGTTCCAGGGGCATATTTGAGGACATAGTTTCGCCCCGGTGTTCGACATTCTGATCTCAGAAGGGAAAAGAGGTCCAGGCTGATCGAAGAAATCGTGCGTTTAGAGTACATTTCACTTTGTTATCTTGATAACATATAGATCCATATTGAGAGAGTATTCGCTTAATACAGGTCGAAAAAGATAATTTTTATAATTTTTTTAACTATAAAACATTTGATACTTATACTTTTGCTCGTATATTTATATGTGCTTAAAGGACATATGTGAATTTTTATTCATGCTTATCAAAAAAGTTTGTTCAATAGGATGAAGAAAGTGTCAAAAAAGATCTTTATTGGCTACGATTAGGTTCCTTTAACTCAGTTAAAATAAAAATTGCAAATTGTCTTTATAGCCCATACTTGAATTAATGATAAAAAATTATATATAACAAAAGTGGCAACGCGTAAAAGATAAAGTATGGATTTTTCACAAAATTGTTAGCCTGCCTTAAATGAATACTCTTTAACAGTCGTTACTTGAATTTTATGCCATGTAAGATACTCAGATCTGAATTTAGAATCAGATTTGACGTTTTTATTTCAATCATATAACATGCGATATTATATTGTAATCGCAATTCATCTGAAAAACTCGCATCTAATTTTAAATTTAAATCTGAGTTAATTTAAGTTCTATTTGAGACAAATCTCAAGTACAACTTTAACTTGTTATTAAAAAAAAATATAATAAACTTCATTATAATTCTGTTGTGGGATATAAAAACAACTTTATTAATCATAAGTCACTTTGCAATTATTTCAGCTAAATCGTGGCAGCCAATAAAGAGGATCCTCTTTGACATGTCCTGCATCATACTAAATAACATTTTTAGTAAGCGTGATTTTTATACATAAAAATTCACACATGATTTTTAAGCACGTACAAATATATGAATATATAAGCGCATTTTGAAATGTTTTATAGTTTCTCTAAACAATTTTTTTAAAATAACTCATTTTTCAGCCTGCTTTAAATGAATACTTTTTAACAGTCGTTACTTGAAATTTATGCCATGTAAGATATTCAGATCTGAATTTAGTATCAGATTTGACGTTTTTATTTCAATCATATAACATGCGATATTATATTTATAATCGCAATTTATCTGAAAAACTCGCATCTAATTTTAAATTTAAATCTGAATTAACTTAAATTCTATTTGAGAAAAATCTCAAGTACTATTGATATGGATCATAGATAATTATTACCATGAATCCGGTGTCCACGCATTGGTAGAGACTGCTAGCAGCCGGAAAGACTAGTTTTCCACTCTCCGCGTGCATCTCGTAGCTGGTTATACCCCAGGTAGCGAGTCTCTTTCTCTCCCATAACAGTTGCTCCTCCCTGGACAATCTATTCGTGCTCGATACACTGAAATGATCCTTCAATAAGTCTCATTATGCCACTTTTACCTTAGCACCGAGTATCTCAATTCTACGATAGTCTTAGCCTAAGCTTAGGCGTTTTTAGGCTTACGCGTAAATTATGATATTTTACATTTACATGTAAATCATATAAAATATGAGTATACATGTAAATATGACCATGTATGAGATGTTGTCTGTGTAGATAATGAGCAAGTTATGGATGTTGTTTAAAAACATATGGCTTGCTAAAAAATTAAGAAAAGTTTTATTTTTATTTAGTTGTTAGAATTCTGGTGTAAATTTATGAAGATTGTTTCCTAAACAAGTTAGGGCTCACAGAATTCTATGGTTATATTTTTATCTTTCATATCAATTATGTGTCTTTTTTCCTTGTTTTAAATTTGATTAAATTAAATTCAATTCAATTAAATTTTTCATTTTTGACAGGTTCATGTAAAAAGAAAAAGTTCAAGTTAATTTATTAATGTGTTTCATAATGAAATGAAAATGAAAGTTATATTTACAATTAGTACCTGAAACAGATATATAATGAAAAGTCTCGTAATTTAATTACACTTTTTGTATTTTTTAAAAATATAACTTATAATTTAAAATATCTAAAAAGTAGATATACAGTAACTGTCTCATCGTTTAATTATCAAGATTACATCTATGTATCTTGATTCTAATCCATTTTTAAAATATTGTTTATGGATATCTTATCAAATAATATAAACTATGTAGAATAATGTAAATTAATTTTAAAATATACAATAAAAAGAATAATTAAATTATAAGATAATTACTGTATTTGTTTTGCGTATTAATTATAAATGTAATATTTAAAAGAGATAGTAAAATGCATGAGATTTTCATATTTTATTGTGTGACAGATCGGTAGATTTAACTCTTAATAAAAATGTAAGAATTCTGTGAACTCTAACTGACTCAGCAAATAACGTTCATAAATTTACTTCAGGATTCTCTAAAAGCTATATAAAAATATAAATTTTTCTTAGTCAATTTTTAAGGAAGAGTCATACATTCTTTAAATGACATTCACAGATTACACATTGTGCATTTTTTACATAGATAATGTAAATTATATAATGTATTGTAAATTATATTAAAATACATGTAAAAAAGAATAAAGTTATGAGATTAAGAATTAAGTTATGAGAAGGTCACTGCTTTAGTATTAACATTGTTATTAATTATACATATGTGATATTTCAAAAAGATAATAGATTGTATGAAATTTTTATTTCATTATGTGACAAATTGACAAATTTAAAAGTAAGAATGTAATTAGAGAATTCTCTGGATTCCAATTTGTTTATAAAACAATATTTATAAATTTACATTTATAAGGATTTCTGATATTGAATAAAGATATAAACTTTATCTCACTAATTGTCTACACAGATGATATTTCATACACAGTTTATATAGTCTACATGTATGTAGGATATCATTTACACACTAATGCTCAATCCTGGTGTACAGGCAATATGTAAACAATCCGCGTAGACGTGATAAGACGTGCCTGCAGCACAATCCTAGCCTTACCTCTGAAAATTAGCTTCTATAACGGGCTGCCAATGCAGACGGTAACCGTTGGCGTGATCCGCGTGTGCGATGTCTACATACAGAAGAGTGGTCTCCCAACCGTTGCTGGGGGTGCTAAGAAAATAGATTCTAGTCCTGCAAAGACGGAGAAAACGGCGGATGAGAGACTGGCGGCCGCGCACGAACGAGACACGTAGCGTCTCGAGAGTGAAGAGCGAGAATTCTCACCGGCCGTCCGGAAGAGATCGAAAAGTTATGGAGCCGGGCACAGAACCCGCGGACACTCCGGATAGCTTCCTTCGGAGATCGCTGACGACGGCTCTGAGCTCGGACCAGGACTTCCGCGGCACCGTGCTGTCGGAAACGGCGTGCTCCCCCGCCTCGTAGCAGGTCTCCATGCCCGCTTCCTGCAGCTGCAGCCGGTCGTTTTGCGAAGTCATTCGCTTTGCGAACACGTCGGCGACGTCGGCGCTGTCATGTCGGGCGCACAAGGCATGCCTGGAGAGGAGTGAGCGCGGGTACGGCGAGTACGCCGCGTGCGTGCGGGCGAAAGCAGCGCGGCGTATCGCACGGCCACGATAATCCCCGCGCGCTACAATACACCGCGGACGTCGTCGACGATGACGACGACGACGACGACGACGACGACGATGACGACGACGACGTCGGCAACAACGACGATCGCGCGCAGTTACGGACGAGCAGACAGGGAGAGGACTTATTTTTAGGTTATGCACCGCCACTGTCGCCGTCGCCACCACCACCACCACCTCTGCCACCGCCACCGCCGAAGCTCACTTTCACCGTCTCCCTGTCCTCCTCGCTGCTCTCGGCCTCTCCCTCCTCCCGGAGCCGGCGGTGTCGCGCGGCATTAAAAAATTTCCCGAAATCGCTCACTCCACCACCGCTGCTGCCGCCGCCGCCGCTACTGTCGCCGTCGTCGTCGACCACTTCCCCCGCGAGTATTCCTCACGATCGTCCGGGAGTCAACGCGAGCGCCGTCGCCGCGCTCACACATATCAACCCCGTATTCGTCAGCGGTGGTTATTACGTCGAGAAACGCGCGCGTCGCTACCGCCGACGGTCGCGCCGCGCGCCGACACACGAACGCGGCGCGCAAGGGAGACATCTGTGAGCGCGGAGTTGAAGCGCGTGAGCCGTGCGTGGCGCCACTGCGCCACCACGCTACCGAAGTGCAGTACGATCCTCTCTATTTGTCCGCGCAACCGTGCCTTCTCTCTTGTCGTCCCGAAAGAAATTTGAAGTAACCGCGCGCGCGCCGGTCTGACCGTCGAAACCTCTTCCGAACGTAGCTTCCTGTCCTTTCTTCGGCACTTGTCGTCCGGAACAGACGGAATGTCTTCGTGAGAGTCTACTGGAGAGTTAATCGTCGTAAACACGTCGCACTCCGGAGGAGCATTCCGTTCGATAGGGTTAGTCTTGTGTCAATTGATTAACTTTCATGTGCTTAAAGTAATAAGATCACATTACACTCGACCGAAATTTCGATATCGAAATAGATTATCGTCGGAATTGATTTAGACAAGAATGAACTTGATGTAATGCTGTTACTCGTCATTTTAGACGCGGTTATCCTGCCTGCTCCGCCGTTGACTCGCGTGTTGACAGGTTAATTAACACGATTGCATTAATCCACCTGTCCATTTGCCCGTTGTACATTTGCGGTCGATAATGAGCTTTCGCTAACGCGCGCGGATTGAAGGCTCGTGTCTCGGCGAACGGCAGAGATCGACGCGAGATCGTTCTAGAAATGGCGGCGAGACGATCGCGCGCGGCGAATTTATGCGGGGCGAGTATCGGGACTTTCGCGCGAACAGCGGGCCGCTGTTTTTTCCCGTGAATTTACACAACGGTGACGGTCGCGACAAAACGGCACGAGCGCGAAGGAAACAATTTTGACGGGGGAGTAAAGCGGGCGTGCACACGTATCCGCCGCAGTCACGTTCCGCGTTCTTCCCGGTACATATTTAAATGGCTCGACGTCGCAACGGCCATTCCGTCCCTGCGCGTCCCTGAATTATTTTCCTCGGCGTTCTCTCCCCATTGGATAGTTCCTCTCCTCTGCGCGCTGTTACGTAAAAATCCAGACGGGTAAATGCTCGCAAGACCTGCATACGCGTTACTAGCTTCGAGACGAAGAAACGCGACCCGTCGCCGTCTGTTGCATGCATTATGTTAGGTTAGGATATACAAAAGTTCAATCCTTCCTTACTTTCTATAACAAATGATCAAGAACGCCTGGACGATGGTCCCAGGTGTCACTCAGCGATGTGAGTTCAATAAAAATTGAATAAGAGAAAGCCTCAACGTTTATTAAGCTAATATTTTTTAATCGTTTACATCTATGTTAGGATATATTTCTTACACGAGAAGAGAATATTGTTCTTTTTTTCTTTTCATATAAATTCTTTTCAATTTTACTACGTTTCTAGCAGTGCAGGAATAGACTACACTGAGAGAAGAAATCTCTAAGAAATAGTAAATTCATATTCGCGGTGAATAATAACATATAATTATTTATAATAATATAAAATATTTCTCAAATAAGAAAATATACATTTTCTTAAACTTTTAAGAAAACCTTGGTTTTTTATGAAAGTAATTATTTATTCTATTTAAATAGAAAAATTTAAGTTTAAGTAAACATGTTATTAGTGTCGATTAAATAAATATTTGCTATTTTTTAGATATTTTCTCTTTCGGTGTGTTAGTAAAGTCTATCGTGCTAAAAAACATAGGCTCTTATTCTGATTTCTCTTTCATCAATAAAAGAGCTTGTAAATATGCTTATAAACCAATCAGAATGTTTATAAGCCACATTTTATTTCTTATGATATGAATACATGAAATGAAAGAACGATTAATTGTAGAGAATGCCACAATCTATTCCTTAGTTACAAAATTATACTAATTATAATAATTTTTACCTTAAAATTCTTCCCATATATGATTGTTGATTATTCGATTAATATGTCGTGATAATATAACACATTATAGTGTCATATCAAGTAGTATATCGTGACATATCATGTATTATAAAATTGTATCAAGTGTCGCAACGCGCCAAGTGCAGATAAAATGGTAATTATATTATATTTGTACACGACGTGAATGATTACATGTCATTAATGAGTGTTGAAAGGTCGCAACGCTTGTTTTCCAATAAATTTCGCAACGCATCTGCATCAATTGTGGATAGAGAAATTGATTTCTTCGGTAATATTCAAAAGACAAGCTGTTCTATTGGGCATTGGATGCGTTCTGAAGTTTATCGCGGTTTAGATCTCGCGGTCTCTGTGGCTTGAAGGGTAACTCGGGCGGAAGAGACTCCATTAAACAAAAAGGGAGCGAACGATCTCTCTTTGACGCGCTACACATTCGGCAAATCATCTGTCTATCGATTCTACGAATTCGTTTCTCCATATTTCCTTTTCGTGAGTCCAATAACATACTAACGTTGTGATGTTTTCCTTTACTTTGACAAAGTTCCCATTTCCTTTGAGTTTTTCCATCTACGTGCTCTTTGCAGAGACTACGACGACGACGACGACGACGAGCGACATGTATGGATTGTCGAGATGCATTCGCGGAGCCGCCGCGAAGTCCAAGCTGTTCAAAGCGGAAACTATCCGGCGAAATTGGCAGGTGGGTCGTTACGTTAACGTATATTAATTCTAGAGTGGGATAAGTTAATTTTTCCTTTAAACTAAGTTAAGAGTTTGAAGTTAACAGGATGCTGTGAAATTGAAAATTTTACTGACAGAATATTGACATTTTTCTGCAAAGTTTACGTCGTATTTCTGTAAAGTTTACGTCGCATTGATTGTACAAAATTACAGATACTTTTATACAATAAAAGTACGTGCAAAAATAGATAAAAGTTCATTTTGTGACGAAAACGAAAAAAAAATTTAATTAAAAATCTTAAGCTATCAGTTAGCGTAATATTTATCTAATTAAAAAATTCCGCAGTTTGTACATACCGAAAGTATGGATACTGCAAATAGGAAAATTTTGAAAAGTATTACTGTACCTTCGTAACTGAATTCAGAAGCTTAAGGCTCCTGGCCCCTCGCATTGTCTATTTAATGACGTCAGAAGTGAGGAAATGCATTCTTGCAAAATACGTTAAAATAAAAATATATATCCATAAAGTAACACTTGTAATCGATTAAACACATTTGTAAGATATTCTGTGCATTCCCTGTTTGCTCTAACAATCAATAATTTGTCGTAAATTATAACGTAACATATAATTCATCTTCTTAACCTATTTCTTTGCCTATTTCTATTCAGGTTAATTTACAATAAATTATTGATTGTTAGAGCAAACAGGGAATGCACAGAATATCTTACAAATTTGTTTAATTGATTGCAAGTTAATTTATAGATATATATTTTTATTTCAACGTATTTCATAAGTATTTTTAGCATGCATTTTCTCGCTTCTGACGTCATTAAAAAGAGATAAACAATACGAGAGGCCAGGAACCTTAAGAATATCCGAAAAGTTTGTAGAAAGATTTTTACATGTACGTGGTTAGAATTTCCGCTAAATATGAAAAAACAAAGCAACACATATTTACGTATAGTTCTGTAAATACGGACATACAAAAAGGATAACGTGATTATATTAGTGTGATAATCGTCTCTGCGTTATCGACATATTTCGAGTTTGTCAGCATCTCTTTAATGGTCCTCAACATTACATTACATTTAAATAAAATTTAAAATAAAATTACATTATATTTAAATTAAATTTAAAATTAAATTATATTTTTAATTACGTTTAATTACATTAAAAAAGTTACATAAACGAAAAATATAACTCAGTTAAAAATAAGATTAAAATTAAATTAATTTGTTAAAGTTAATTATGCAAATCAATATATGTGTTTTTTTGTACAATATATCAATGTATCAATATATGTGTTTTTTTTGTACATTTAACTTTTTAATCGAAGATCACATGAATTATTTAAGGTAGTCTTATGTAAAAATACCGATTGTTTCTTGCTTAGAATTTTATACAAGAACGCTGACTCTCAGAAAGACAACAAAATTTTTTAGTTATTTTTAAATATTTTATATTTAATTTTTTATATTAATGATGATTTTATTATAATGGAAAAAAATGAAATATTTCATATTTTATTTTCCTTATTCTACATTGTTTGCATTGATTTAAATTTAATGAATTAAATGAATGTTAAATTAATGAATTATATAATAAATTTAATGAATTATTTTAATTTATATAAAAAATGTGTTGAATTTAATGTATTTTAAAATAATTGCGGATTAAGGGGATGCTGGAGTCGAAATTTGCATCGACAAAATATCTTCTTTTGTAAAGTTTACGTGGTATTGGCTGTGTAGAATTATAAATGTTCTTACATGGTAAAAATACACCATGTGAGAATGAATTGGAACATTGTTCAATATATGATGAAAACGATAAAAAATTTTCAAAACTTCAGGTGTAAATCATACGTTTGTCAGTTAAAATAAATACATGTCTGATACAAAAGATCTGTATATATGATCTTAAGATCTTTATATATGCTGAATATGAATTTGCTTTGCTCAGAAAAATTTCAAATGCGTGGTTAGATTCTCCATTAAATATATGATAAAATAAATCAACACGTATTTATGTGAGATCAATATGTGCAAGAAATACGAAAAAGATAGCGTGATCATGTTAGTGACGATTATGGGCTCTATGTTGTCGACATTTTTGGAGTTCGCCATCGACTGTATCATCCCCTTAAGTTAAAAGCTGACTAATTTAAAATTAACTAAACTAAGCGAAAAAAAGCTATTAATTTTTTAACTTAACTTTTAATAGATTGACTGGTTGATATTACCCAAACTCTATTAATTAGCGAAGAAATCCGAGAGTCCAATTGGAACGCTGAGTATTAAAGACGCGCACGTATGTCTCTCGAAATCTGTCTTCGTCGCGCCGCGAAGAAAGCGAATCCGTTCCACCGAGACGACTGTCAGCTTGCTTTGAGACAGAATTTGCAATGCTAATCGTTCGCACACGGCTACCTCGGCGATTGCATTTCGCGCTAGAAGACCACGAGAGCGCGTGGGCTTCCGCGGTCTGCCGCGTTAATAATTTCCAGAAAATTCGCCACCGCCTCGCGGCGAATTACCTCTGCACCCTCTGCCGAGCAACGAGTCGACACTTCTGACTTTAATTCACATCCGCGATATCTTTAATGTCCGGTCGCCACGCGTAAGTCAACCCGGGCCCGTTATCGATTCCGTAACGTTACCGTGGCACGATACCACACATATTTCGCCCCTGTACTTTCGAACACGTCCCCACGCGATGAATATTAACGAGACCCCGTCGCCGCGTCGTCGCTTACCTTAAGCCTCTCGCGGACTGACCGCGCCTTATCGCGGCTTCCACCCGCCGGGGATTTAATCGCAGATACGCAACGCGAATTCGCCGAGTCCTCTCACCCGACCGACATTTTTATTCCGTTCCAGCCGTTTCGTCCCGGAGCTGGCGCACGTAGTGCGCGCCCGGGTCGAATGTCTCGCGGACGGCTCTCGCACGTAGGCACAATTTTCCGACGGACTTGTGCGCTATCAACCCCACTCGCATTCCCGCCCTCTCTCTCTCTCTCTCTCTCTCTCTCTCTCTCTCTCTCTCTCTCTCTCTCACAGCGGCAAGCCCCGCCGGCTGTTCCAACAGGGCTGCTCCAAGCGCCCGTCGGACGGTCTGCACGAGACCCGTATATTTCCCGAGATACGTTCTCCACGGCGCGCTCGGCGCCGTCCAGGAACTCTCACGGGAACGGCCGAATCCCTTTTTCCCCGTGTTCCGTGCGCCCTTTAAATATTAACGCCGGCGAATTCCGTGGGCGGTCCGGTAAAATTTTCACGAATTAAGTCGATACGTGTAATTTACGGCTTTCGGTTTGCCGCTGCCGCGCGCTCCAACGGACGGGCGAATATTTTTAATCCTCTCCGATCCTCCTTGAGCCGTTTCAATCGAGGAGAATCTAAGCACGCTCTCTCCTTTTTTTCATCCGCTATCTTCGTTATGCAAAATGTTATATTCTGGGAATCAGGCAAGTGGTTTATTATGATTTTATCAATTTCTGCGGTTTTAGTTAATTTCTTTTTGCTTCTTCTCTTCTTGTTATTTCTCTTATTATATTGTTGGTGACTTTTCTGTTTCATGCAATGATTTCAACGTCTCATATTTGAAAGGATGACTGTCTAAGGACAGCATAAGCATCCATATTCAGAAGAATATCGTCTTACTAAGAAATGCGGTTACTTATTTTATTTTCTTTCATTTAAGGCTCCTGTTCTGTCGCGAACTGACGATATCGGAGGCAAGAAAATGCATGTAAAAAATCCTTGTACATACTATTAAAAAAAAAAAAAATATATATATA